GAGAATCAGACAAACAAAGATTACAAGGCAGTGATTAGGAAGTTAATAAATTGGATAGATACTGAGGTGCCAAGCCATATAGAGTCTTTGAGGTGAGCATAAAGATTCTAAAGTCGACACAAAACCTGAAAGGAAGCCAGTGCAAGACTCAAGGATAGGAGTAATGTGATCACTTGCATGCAACCTGGTCAAGATTCTTGCTGCCAAATTGAGACATACTGAAGATTGTTTAGTGGGGATTTAGATACCCCAGTGAGAAGGGCACTCAGTAATCAATTCTGAGAAAAGACAGAAATGTTGTCCAGCTTTTCTGTTACAGTCAGAGACAACACAGATCATAGCCTAGGGGTGAGTTTGAAGAATTATGTTTTTACAATATTTTGGAATTTTGCACTTGTGAGTGAAATGTCAAGCTTGGATCAAATATCACCCCCATATTCTTTCATTTAGATTGAAATTCAAGTATAGTACCACCCACAGATAGGGCCATTGTATTGGCTTAAGATAGTTAATAGGAAGTGCCGAGAAGTGTGAGCTCTTGTCATAGTTTAAATTAAGAACATTTTTAAGTTATCTAGGATTTTATGTCAGAGGTGCAATTAGAGAGTCCAGAAACACCTACTTCAGTGTCAGGTTCATTATGGATGTAGATTTAAGTATGTGTGTTTAAATGACTGACCATTTACTAAACATGTAAATGTTGAATATTTGGGGGCCCAAGATCGAGCCCTGAGAAACACCAGATTTTACAAACTCAACATCCGAATTGAAATCCCCAAGAGAAACAAAGTGTTGGTGATCAGTAAAGTAAGAGTTGAACCATTTAAGAACAATGCTAGAAACTCCAAACACTATCTGAAGATGAGAAAGTAAGATGTCATGATTAACAGTGTCAAAAGCAGCACTGAGTTCAAGGAGAATAAGGCTAGATGGAGAACCAGAATCAGAAGCCATTAAAAGATCATTAGTAACTTAACAAAGGGCAGATACAATGCTGTGGAATTGTCTGTAACCGGATTGGAATCGTTCAAAGAGTTTGTTTACAATGAACTGGTTGTTTAATTGACTTTCAACACTACCTCCTAGAATTATGCAAGAGACTGGATAGTCCAGGGCCATAATTGTGTTTTTAAGCACAGTGTAATTGCAGCTGTTTGTACCACTCCAGTTCTCAAGAACACATTTATTAAGTTGAGGACAACAAGGTGGAGAGCAGACAAACAGAATAGAAATAACACAGTAGAAATGGGATCAAATAAACAGGTGGTGGATTTCATATGCGACACTAATTTACTAAGGTATGCAGTGTCAAGTTGAGAGAGATTAGAAAGAGAAGAACCAGGAAAAACAGACAGTGAGATGCTGGATGTTGTCGAACTTAGAAGTAAAAAAGTCTAAGTAATTGCTGCAAAATTGGGATGAAGCAGGTAAAGTAGTAGGGCAGTTTGGTTTATGTAGTCTATTAAAGATTGAGAAGAGGTATCTAGGATTGTTATGGTTATTTTCAATGATGTAGACGTAGCTGACTCTAAAGCTCCTTGTACTGTACAAGTAAATTCACATACTTGCCAAAAATGCATCACTTACTTGGGGGATCTATAAACTATAACAATGGTAGCAGACTAGGGAACAGAGACATTTAAAACAAGACACTCAAAAGAAGACTGTAGAGGTACAGTAACTGGCACTCACTGTAAACTCTCTTTATCACCATTAGAGTAAGACTAATGATGATACAATAATTTAAGAGATCATGAAAAAGAAACCTTTAATAATAAGCTTTTTAATTTTGTTTTCAATAACAGTACCTAATATCACTATACTGTAAGGTTGAAGTTAGGGTTTACTTTCAGCATGGGGTTAGTAACCTGTGTTTTAGTAATACAGGTTAGTAACCCTCCCATCATCTTTGTAATGCCAATCCTGTAACCCTGTCTGTGGATGGTACTGTACTTGAACTTCAGTCTAAATTGAAAAACCTTGGGGTGATATTTGATTCAGGCTTAACATTCGACATGTACACATGTGTAGCATATTGTTAAAACATCTTTCTTTCACCTCAGAAATATTGCTAGACTACGCCCAATGTTACCACTAACTGTGGCTGAAAAACTGATAAACACATTTGTCTTCTCCCGAATTGACTACTGTAATGTTCTAATTGCTGGGGTATCTAAAACCACATTGAACAAACTCCAATATGTCCAAAATTCATCAGCCAGAATCCTGACCAGGTTTAGTGCAAGTGATCACATTACTCCTATCCTGGAGTCCTTGCACTGGCTTCCTGTCAAGTCTGGTATTGACTTCAAAATCCTCATGCTCACCTCTAAGGCTCTGCATGGCTTGGCACCTCCGTACCTGTCCGAGTTCTTATCACCCTACTAATCTTGCAACCTTCGCTCCTCTAATTCTGGTCTCCTGTCCCCCAAGCCTGTCTACATTGTATGGGTGACAGGGCCTTCTCCTGTTATGCTGTTAGCTCTGGAACTCTCTGCCCAAGGATATCAGAGAGTCACCTTCTCTAAACTCCTTCAAATCCAGTCTCAAAACCTTCTTCTTTAGAAGAGCCTTTACTTTACCAGTTTCAGTCTTTACTCTTCTGCTCCTGCTGTATTTAGTACCACCATCTACTGTCTCCTCTGTGTATTTTCATTGTGTTTATCTTGTGTATTTTTTATTGTTGTTGTTGCTGTTGTCACCCTGTAAAGAGCTTTGAGAAGCCACCTTTAAAGGCGCTATAAAAAATAACGTTTATTATTATTATTTTAAAATACCACCACATTAATTACCATTGTTACAATTCTAATTATTTTCAGTTCCTAAACTTGATTAAAGTTTCCTTTTAATTGCTGAATTTCATGAGAACTTTAAGATCTCCAACTTTTGAGAAGAAAAAAAACCTTACAAAAGTTGCACCTTGTTATTGTAGGTCAGTTAAGGATTTAGCGAAGTAAAAACCCCAGGTGGAATTAAAGTCAGTAGCTGTGGGTCTCCCACGACCACAGTTGGGAACCCCTAGTATAGAATAGTTCCAATAGGCTAAGTAAACGTCTTAAAAATAATTATTATAAATATTTCTGACTTCTACAACTTCATGCAAAAGCATGCTAAAAAAGTATTTTCTCAATTACAGGAAGCAATTAAAACTGTAGATTATTAATGATCAATCGAAGGAATTTGTGCTGAATTTAATTTTTAAAAACCATGTATAATCTTTTTCAGATGTTGGATAGAGAAGATTTAGTACGCTTTTCTAAGGAGCCCAGTCCTCAGTATGTGTTCGGCCCTTATGACTTAGTAAGTACGTACTTTACACTAAGCACAGAAGATAGGGATTGGATAAAAATAATGTTGTATTATTACATGACTACTTATCTGTGCGTGCATTATAGATCTTAATGTACTTACCGTAATAAAAAAAATACTTGTATGCATTAAAATCAGTTGTTCTTCGATTATTTTAAATGCTCCTTTGTTATTCTGTGTACACTAATTAGTGCTGATTTTTTTTTATCTTTTCAGTCAAAACCAGGGACAGGAGATTTTTCCAGGAAACGAAAATGGATATTTAACAAAAAATGAAACAAAAAAACAACGGACATGAATAATTACTTTCTTGTAAATGATTAATTTTTCATTCATTAACATGTGTCTGCAGAATATGTAACTAGCTCTAGTTACAAATTCAGAAAGTTACAAAGCTCGGTATCTCCTCGGTTTACCTGATTGTAATTCTATATACTCCAATACATTTACAAATGGCATTGTGCACAAGTGCCTTAATAAAATGTTATTTGCCTTAAATACGTTCTTGCTTATCTTCTGTCAACATACACACCTATATTTCTTTAAAAATTAACATTACTATGCATGCAAGAATATTGTAAACGTATTATCAACACATATGCACTATATCGTGTAATTTATTAGTGGGGGGTTTGGGGGAAACTGAAAGCTTTCTAATGTAATAACATTTTTTAAAGAACCCTCGGGTAAAATGACATTCCTGTTTAAAATAGCAAAAAAAAAATCAGTACTATGAGTATAAAGCAAGATGCTTTGTGCACATTTCTAACAACATTTGCAATTAAAAAATATATGACAAAAACATTTTCACCACCCTCCAAATAACCTTTACTTATTCTATATTTGTTTTTGTTTCAACCCCTCCTCTCGTCACCGCCAATAGGCCACCTGACCTGTCCGTTAAAACTTTCTTTTCTCGCTCTGTGTGAACCCGCGCAATAAGATGCCTGACAGCCAATAAGAATCCTTCGCGCGGAATTTCAAAACTTTTTCAAATAAGGGGCGGTTACTCGCCAACTACTCTTAACCCACAACTGCTAGAAAATAGTCCCTCGGATTTTCATCAGATAATTATTAAAGTGAAGCCAAGTAGGAGGCGATTAGTACAAAATAATCTATTTTGTGCAGGTTTTGGTGGAGTAAATCTATGTTTATATTAAATGTCATGCTTAATCTTGCATTTGGACTTTTATTTTAGACCGCGCAGGGATACAGTTAGGGTAAACAAAGGTTGTGGAACTAGTGCGCCTACTGTAATGCGCGGCAAGATTTTATTCAAGGAACCTAGCGTGTAGAGAGGTGTTGTAGAACACATCGGGTTTTATTTTGGATTTTAATTTTTAAAAGCATTTTATTTTCCAACTTTTAATGGACAAGAAGACATCTTAAAACTCCTTTCAACATTTGACAGGTATGACGTTGATCCCTTTTAAGTACTTTTCACTGATATTGCTGGTTGCGATATATATTTCTAGAAATGTAGCTCGTTTAAACTGTAGTTGCCCGCCAATTTCGATTACTTTTTGTAAAAGGACTTAAAGTTGAAAAACTAGTTCGTTTGAGAATATGGATAAGCTTTTGTGAAATGTAGTGCATGTTTAAGTTTTAGATTGTTTGCTTTTTAATGTTTCCGTATGTAGAAAACTGGAGATCAAGTTCCGATATTATTCTGATAATATACTTAGAAGTGCCGGACTTATACCCAATAGTGATTGTTTTTAGGAAGCAAAATGGCAGTTGTCACCAAAAGCTTCATGAAACAAGCATATGTATCGGTTTGGTTAGGTGTCTAACGCCGAACTTGTCTGTGTTATGGGCGATATCTTTATCCAAATTCAATACTTTCTTGTAATCTAAACCGCGTATGTATTCTATGTGTTCATGGCACATCGGGAATAGTCTCTTAGTAGCTATCTGTTCTGTGTAAGGCAGCGCAGTGGTGGCCCATTAGATTGGCTGAACTGGTTTGATTGCTGTTGTTTTTATTTTACTATTCTATTGCATATTTGCTTTATCGAATCAGCTAGTTAAAACGACGAATAGATGCTTGAATGCCGTTCATGGCCTGATCTGTTAGAAGAGCCGATCTTCCGAATAAGAGATGTCAGTAAGGGAGAAAGCAGAGTATCGGTTCAGAATCGTGACTCGGAGCAGAGAGGGACGCTGCACAGAAACTCGGCTCTTTCCGTCCCGGCAGAGAGAGCCGAGAGATGGGCTGACTGTTACACGTGGTTTGCATCGGCGAACTACTACTACTGTACCTGGGCACTTTTTTTTTATAAGCTTAAAATGCTGAACTTTGATGTGTGGTGTGTGTCGTAACCTCGAGGAAAGTATTAAAGCAGAGCTGTTTATTTTCCCAGCTCTTTTTCGTGCTTTGTGGGCGAGAGTTGTGCAGGTGACGATGCCGCTGCATGGGAAGATAGTGGTTATCAAGAGGAGTGGGGCAGACGGGACCGAGTTTCCGCTCACTGCGTCCTCCTGCCTGTTTGGAAGGTGAGTTTTCTTTTCTGAAGGATCCCCCTACGTTACAGATGGCAAAAATGCGCCCCGAGTTACTGAAGGTGTATTAAAGCGAAACATGGGTAACTGCTATCTTGAGGTTGTTGTGTCTGATGCTCAGAAGGAGGAATACAGTTGGAAATCTTACTTGTGCTTAGCATAATGTGTAGAACTTTTATTTTAAAGCTATCTCCCATTGCCCATTTTAAAATCTTGCTCTGCTCCGGCTATATGTCCGTACAGGCAAAATGACTTTCATGTGTTTTACTGAGGACATTGAAAACCTTTTGGTGCTTTATCTTTTCAAATTAGGAAACCAGATTGTGATATTCGGATTCAGCTGCCTCAGGTCTCTAAAGAACATTGTAGAGTTGAAGTGAACGAAAATAAAGAAGTAAGTAGATGAATTTTTGAAGGTAATGTAATTTGAAGTTTTTGTAAAAGCTACTGAAATATCTGCCTGTTATGATTGAAATGTTTTTCTTTGTTTCAGGTCATTGTGATAAATCTGAGTACGGTTAATCCCACGCTTTTAAATGGCGAAGCAGTAAAACAGTCGGCACTTCTAAAGCATGGAGATCTGATCACAATTATTGATCGTTCCTTTAGGTAAGTGTCTTTTCTGAAACTGATGCAAAGTCTGAAATCAAACCCTTGTTTTTGTTACTGGTGGCTACAGATTTAATGGGGAAAAAATCCTAATGTGACTTTTAACGTCACTTGTTTTTTTTTAAACGTTTCTAAGGTCATATCATATGAGAAGAGACAAAAATACAGGAAATAGCATACAATTTACCTTTTGTTTGTAATATAAAAATGAAAGTGGTGTTTTGTAAATGTAGATCCTCAAGTTATCTGTCTGCAATATCCAACTGAGAAGAAAATACTTGTATCTGTTAAAAGTGGTATTATTTCTTTCTTGTTTTATGGTTAGAAATACTATAATAAACATTTGTAAAACTAAAAACTCCTGTAAGTCCTAATGTACTTAATAGTATCTTCAGTTTTCTTTTTTGCTGACACTACTTTTTTTTAAACTTCAGGTTTGAGTATCCACCAGAACAAACTCCTAAAAAGAGGAATCAGTCTGCAGTAGAAAAAAATGAAAAGCTTCAGGTATTTACTATTCTTGTTTTTAAATATATAATTTCTTGTTAGTGCAATTTTCTTAAGAGGCAATATATGTTGTTTCAGCTAAGATGGTGACCATCTTTTAGGAAGATGACAGTTTGGCTAGAAATATGTGCGCAGTATGCTTTAACATTTAAAATGTAGTTCACACTTAGTGTGTGGTGCCCTTTTAAAGCAATGTGACATAAAACAGTTATATGGCAATGAAAAAAACTTAGTGATACAGAGTTTGTGTTGCCCCAGTGATGCACACTGTTTGTTGTGTCTGCATAAAATATAAAAAGGAAAACATGAGGGACTAGTTGTATATTAGTATAGTCCTATTAATTGATATTAGTCCTTTTCCTGGTCTATAATGTGCCCTCTAAATATTGGGATATCCTAAAATTTAACATTTGTTTTTCAATTTGTTGCATGATAAATTTACAGGTGCTTCATGTTCAGCAGGTGAAAGATGCAGGTCGTTTGTCTTCTGGAAATAGAAGAACGTCAGCACAGTTAACTTCAGGTTTGAAAAATTAACTGAACAACTCCCCTATTACTGTATCTTTTTTTGGCTTTTACACACTTATTTTCTCGTCCAAAAAAAGCAGTCTGTGAAAATATCATTCAAAGAGTAAGATCTTGCTCAATAGCATAACTGTTGATTGCATTTCTTGGTTTTCTCTCAAATTTCAGATCTCTGGAATTTGTTTGACCTCCTTTGTCAGCAATGAAAAGCAAGCTTTTCAAAGTTTACAGCAGCCTGGTTCCTTGATGCAAACCAAATCATATTATTGATGCTGTTCCAGTGTAATTATTGAATTCAACTTTAGTTTTTAATACCAGTCCGCTTTTGCTTCTCCTCTAGAAATCTTGTTCATTGAAAGGTGGCAAAGTTTGCTCCATGCACTGTTAACCCATTTTGTACTGTTAAGAAACTGGTGAAAATCAGGAATTGACCGAGTCAATCAGAGAAATAATTATTCATAAGCCCCAGCTTGTACGTGATTTCTAACGATGTACCCGAGCAGCTGGTAACCAGAGGCATGTGAATTCTTTATTCTCTGGCACAGCTTTGTTAAGAGGAGTAATCCAGGCACACTTGGTTAAAACAAAGATTTATTACAATAAACTACACAAAACATACAACACACAGTTACATTATATACAGTTTTTATTGACCAGGCGTTTCAGAGGCCTAACATTCTGGTCACCCAGAAAACCCCAGGCTGCAACTAAGCACTAAACTCTTAATATGCCTGCAGGGGCCTCACAAGAGATGAGCTGCCTTCAAACTAAATACAATGCAACCTGCAGTTAAATCTTTCTCTGCACCCCAGATGCCACAAAATAAATGGGAGCCTATATCCCTATCCATAATATGCACACTAATCAGGAAAGACATTTCTAACAGGTATCTTTTACCCAGAAAACCCAAGTTCCCTAAAAGCAGAATCACACACTCTAATAAGGTTCAAATACAAAGGTTTGGTTTGGATAATCAATTAGTAGGGGCTCTCGCCTGGTGCAAGCTTGCAAGTCCCAACTCCTCTGGACTCCTCTCTCTTCTCCCTGCTTCTCCTTGTTTCTTCCTCCACTCCCTCTCT